AAAATTTCAAGGAGAAAAAGGTAAAAAGCTTCCCAACATTTTAATATTACATCTTCAAGTAAAAGAAATGTATACTGGGATTATGTTATTGTTTTAATTTTCTCAAACATTTAGTTTCTCAACATTCTGAACATAGTAGACTCATAGGAAAGACATTTTCTTTAACTTTTGCCAAGATTACTCAATACCATGATACCATTCCTACCATGAGCTCGTTGGATTTACACGAACTTAACAGATGTATATCATGGATTCCATTGTAAATAATGCACTTAAAAACAATCTTTAATAGATCTTTTGTCAGCTGTGCCTTACTAGCTGCCTAATTCCTTCTTTTTGCTGTTAATAAAACTACACCATTAAAAGGAGGACATTTACTAGTATAAAATATTCCCCCAAATGTATCGAAGACATAATGCCTTGAGCTTCACTTAATTAGGATTAATTCCTCCTTCTCAGATGTTTACATATGCTTTCAATTCTGTAACAGGTATAATTATAAACAATCATTTCACAAATCACAAAGTGAAATTACTAATCAACTCTCAAGTGTTCTTAGTCTGTCAGGTCTTTTTCAAACATTTCGAGATGATCTAGAAAGTTAAAATTTGGCATGAGTATATAGTTTTTATTCAAGGTCAAAAGGAAAAATCCTGAAATATCTAATTTTCAGTTTTATGTAGGATTCCCTCTGTCATGCCAATTCTATGTGATTTTAGCTCCAGAAAGAGGGTGTGCCTTCAAGTGAAAGAATAACAAATAACTAATCGTCATTTGATTAGTCTCAGAATATGAGATAGTAGTTGACTTTAATGAATGGATAACTATTCCTTTCAGTAGTTCCCAATTTTTTGCTTAAAAAAAAAAAGAGCAGTCATCTGATTCATCTTTAAGAATAATTTCCAATGAGATCACTAAGTGATTTTGGCATATAACTTGGAAGGAGCTCAAGGAACTAAGTGACATCACTACAAAATTCCCTGGCACAGAAAGCTAATACTGCCATCAGTACTAAACTCCGAGACCAGATATCTTAGTATGAAAGTGATTTAGTTAGAAACCAATGGCACATTTTATAGGTTCTAACCAGTCCACGTACATCAAAAAAGTATAATTCTTTTATTTGTCAACAGAGGTAGGTTTGCAAACTGTTTTATGAAAAACTAGGAGAACCTCTACTGTCTGGGAGGGTATCCTCAGTATAAAAGTATACCGCCTCTGAAATAAGCTATTAAGTAAGAAATCTGGGGCTTGACCCTGGTGTTCAGGGTAAAGGGTCATGAGAGAGGCATCTTAAAAAAACAAGCTTCTAAAATTTCAGAGCTAAGGAGGGGATTCACATTTAGCTTAACTGGGAGGTATGCTAATAAGATGGAGACGAATTATTCTGTCCTTTGGAATGTGATCAAGATCTTGGGAATGAGACCCAAAGAAGGAAGGCATATTAGTGACTAAAAATAATCAAGACTAGGGGCCGGCCCATGGCCAAGTGGTTCAGTTTGCGCACTCCGCTTCAGTGGCCCAGGGTTTCACCAGTTCGGATCCCAGGCGCGGACATGGTACCACTCATCAGGCCATGCTGAGGCGGCGTCCGACGTGGCACAACTAGAAGGACCCACAACTAAAAATACACAACTATGTACCAGGGGACTTCGGGAAAGAAAAAGGAAAAATAAAATTGAAAAAAAAAAAATCAAGACTAACTGATTTAAGGATGAAAGCCTAGGGTGGAACTGAGAAGAATGGAGCTGGCTTTTAGCCTTATATCAAAGGAGAGCTCTACAACCAAAGTTCTCTAGTCGTTGAAGATGAATTTGCCCTTCTTCAGGTCTACGGTACTGTAACATGGCTTTTAAGGCTTGACCCCACCCAGGCTGGGCTGGTAGTATCTGCTTCCATCACCTGGATTGCTGAGACTCAAAAACTCATCTCCAGTTCTGAACCACTCCTTCATGGCAGAGAATGGAGATGGCTTGTTTGGTAATAACTTCATCACATGATCCTTTACAAGGATTACACTGCAAAGGATTTTTACAGTGATTTCACCATATCCGTTAACAAATTTGATCCTCACAAAAACTGTATGAAGCAGACAAGGCAGATACTCAGACTGTATGATTCCATTTATATAAATTTGAAAACAGGCAGAACTAACCTATTGTATTAGAAGCTATTATGGTGGTTACCTTCAAGAAGAAGAAAGAGAAAAGTGACTGGGAGGAAGCATGACGGGACCTTCTGGAGGTGCTGATAATGTCTTGACCTGGGTGGTGATTACCTCTGCGTGCTTGTTATATATAATTCATTGGTCTGTATCCTTCTGACCTGTGTATTCTCTATAAGCACGTTACACTTCAATACAAAGTTCATTTTTAAAAACGCCATGGTCTTAATCACTGCATCATAGCTGCTCGTAAATAGTATTTAATAGGCATATAGAACTAAAAGAGGCAGTAAAAATACTCAATGTATTATAAAAAGAAAACCACTGATTGTGAATGCAAAATTACCTGCTTTTTAATTGAACTACTTCCACTTATTTCATTTCCATGTAAAACCTAAACTAAGAAAAAAAAAAAAATTACCGGCCGGCCCTGTGGCCGAGTGGTTAAGTTTGCGCACTCCGCTTCAGTGGCCCAGGGTTTTGCTGGTTCGGATCCTGGCACGGACATGGCACTGCTCATTAAGCCATGCCGAGGCGGCATCCCACATGCCACATCTGGAGGGACCCACAACTAGAATATACAACTATGTACTGGGGCGATTTGGGGAGAAAAACCAGAAAAAAAAAAGAAGATTGGCAACAGCTGTTAGCTCAGGTGCCGATCTTAAAAAAAAATTAAATATATAAAAGGAAATAAAAACTATTATACAATAGTTAAGAATATGGCATTTCCCCCTCATTGTCACTCATATTCTTCACCTCTATTGTTCCCCCCTCTGATATTTTATTTCCCACAATTCTTCTCTACCTCCTCTCCTGCCTCCTCTAATCTTCCAACATCTTTTCCTAGGGAACTGATTATGAAACAAGAGCATCGCGGGAAGCTCCCCAGGTCATCTTAGGACACATGCAGCTCTCTCACATCACTTATTTTCTCTGCTTGTCCTTAAATTCCATATTTTTTCCTGCCATCTCTTTTTCTCACATCTCTCTCTCTGGTTTCTACCTCCATTTTTCTTCCTAATTATACCCCCAGGGTCCACCTGGAACATACATAATAGTAAAAGGTGGTCAACTAATATTTATTCTCATCAAGTTATGTTTTCCTATATAAACAGGACTGAAACTATGAACACGGTGTTATAGGTATGGCTGTACAGATGGAAATATAGCCAGTATTCTTTTCTATGACAAATACTGAAGAATTGATGCTTTGCCTACCTTTGTGATTCTCTATACTTCAAAAGCATGCATTGGTTTTCAGTCCTTTTTCTGGCCCAACACATCTGAGGGACATGTCACTCCCATCTCGAACAGTCATGTGATGGTTAATTTTATGTGCCAATTTGGCTGGGCATTGTGCCCAGATGTTTGGGCAAATATTATTCTAGATCTTTCTGTGAAGGTGTTTTTTAGGTGAGATTAACATTTAAATCAGTGGACTTTGAGTAAAGCCATAATGTGGTGGGCCTCATCCAATCAGCTGAAGGTCTTAATAGAACAAAGACTTACCTCCCCTGAGCAAGAAGGAACTCTGCCAGCAGACTGCCTTTGACTTGAATGGCAACTCTTCCCTAGGCCTCCAGCCGGCTGTCCTGTCCTGCTGATTTTAGACTCACTAAGCCTCCACAATCACATGAGCCAATTCCTTAAAATAAATCTCCCTCTCTCTCTACACACACACACATCCTTTTGGCTCTGTTTCTGTTTCTCTGGGGAACCCCGACTGATACAAGTAGCTAAGATGGTGATGCTCATCTAGAGATGAGGGGGAGAGGGGTTCTACAGAAAGAGCAGAGGGGTTGGGGATGCCAGACAATTTTGCAAAGGCCTGATGCAGACCTCGTAGAATACCCACTCAAAAGTCATTCCCTAGCCTTCCTCTAGTACAGAGGCCAGAACACTAAAACAAATTTTCCAGCTTCCCTTACAACTAAGGGTAAGGTAAAATTTTACCAACTAAGGGGTCATCACGTGACAGAGTTGTGGCCAGATTCCTGAGAAGGGCTTCCTTCCTAAATAAAAAGCTGAACTCACCAGGAGAAAGCACTGTGCTCTACCTGTCTCCCTGCCTGGACTACTGCGGCCTCAGATGTAAAAACAGTACGTGGAAGAGCTGCTCTTCAGCTCTCCTGCTGCTGCCACGGTTCCTCGGTGCTCCAGGCATGACACCCCAAACAAGAGTGCGAGCGGAATCTGGCTTCTTAGGCCAAGCTGTACTGAAGACTGAGAAACTTAACTGGCCTCACCTAAGTGTTATTACACGTGGAACTTTAAAAGACACAGCTGTACTCAGTCTCCACGGAGGCTACCTGAGGTCAAACTCTGCAATGGGAGGGACTTGGACCGAGAAATTTCCCAAACGCGATGACTATGAAGCATTGACGATTCTAAGTGTGAATTAGTACGGAAGGCTGTAGGATATCCTTTAAAGAGTCCTTGAAAATAGGGCCCGAGTTTTTTATGGCATTCCACTTTAAAGGTAGGAGTTAGAACAAGCAGTGCTTCTATATCACTTGCATCCTGTAACCCACGAGTGAATTTAAAAATTTACCTCAGCACACTTTTAAATTGGTTACAGTAGAGAACTAGAGTGCTATATAAAATCACAGTGTAAGAAAACCTCACTAACAAATCATTAAGAAGGACGTTCTTGGCCAAGTTGATGAAAAATGTAAATGAAGTGCCAAATTACCTCACAAACTTTTGAGTCAACAGTGTCATAACCTTTAAGGCTACCAATGATGCAACTCTAAAAATATTATTTTCTCCAGATCTACCCATAAAAAGAAAAATCAAGTGCTATCAAATAATGACTTCAAAATTCTGTGTTTACCTTTTTTTTCCCCAGTGTAGGGCACATAGTCTTCCCTGTCCTTATGCTCCAACGCTTCCTTCTCCAGATATGAAAGGAGGTGTTCTCTATCAAACGGCCCTGTGGCGGACTTTGACGTCTGGTTCTTCTGCCGGAATCCTGCAGGCAGAAGGGCATTCTGCCAAAGAGAATGAATCAGCCATTATGGCCACCAAGAATGCCAACGCTATATGCTTCCCAGATTACCCATTTAAGAAAGAATCACAGACTGGAAAGTGATACGGGCATTAAACACTTTGTTACAGGATTTTAGGGCAGCAATGGAAAAGTGTTCCAAACAAAGCTTTTTTTATTAGGTAGAATTCACTTATATTATTAAAATAAGCACATACACATTTTCTTCAGAAAGTATTCTACTAGGAGGAAACACTCTTTACTTTTTAAATGTCTTGGGATGGTAACAAAAAATAGTTTTCTTAACGCTTAATAACTGCTCAGCATACATGTATATACAGAAAATAATTCTATTACAAAGAATGTTAAATGACTGTATATGTCATATTCCTTCATAATGACTTCTATTTCATTGTAAAGACTTTCTCATGATAAAAACATGTATACCATAGAGTAGGATATCAGGAGATTAATGTTTACTTTGTCTTTCAACACAATGTGAAAGGTTCAACTTGTATGTGTGTGTATGTATGAATACATCAGCACTGGGACATACTTGCAGCAACCACTGTCATTGCTCTTCATGCACCAAGGCATCCCGAGATACAGCAAGGGCTATGTCTCTGGGTTTCCACATGGGTACAGTCTTGTTTGAGTGTATGGAGTGACTGAGAGTGGGGAAATGGTGGGAAGTAATGGATTAAAGTTGTCTCCTGTGGTCCCTACTCTCTATTTTCACCAAGCCCAGGAAAAACAAGTGGTGACTAGACAATATGAGCTCCATCCTTTCTTCAAAAGCCAAAGAGGTGATCTTGCCTTGTCTCACTATTCCTAAGTATTTCTTCGCTTTGAAAATGGGAGGCAGCCAGAGAAGGCACACAAAAGGGCCAACCCTCTTTTGCAACACCTCCCAAGACTGGCAGTGATGCTGAATCTCATGGAGGTTATAATTTTTTATTATAAAAGGAGATCTTACATAGACAATAATAATAGGAAACTTTCATTTTATAACTAGAAAATATGGCACTTTAACTTTGGCCATTTGCTGAGATCCATAATAATTTTCATTAAATTTGCTTTCATGTTCTCCTCATGTAATAATTGTGTGCATTACACAGAAAGTGCACCTATAAAGATGAAACACAAAAGAGGTCTGCTTCATCAAGAATGTTTTTCCGGGCTGGTCCTGTGGCCAAGTGGTTAAGTTTGCGCCCTCTGCTTCAGCGGTCCAGGGTTTCGCTGGTTCGGATCCTGGGTATAGACATAGCACCACTCATCAAGCCATGCTGAGGCGGCATCCTACATGCCAAAACTAGAAGGACCCATAACCAAAAAGTATACAACTATGTACTGGGGGGATTTAGGGAGAAAAAGCAGAAAAAAAAAAGGATTGGCAACAATTGTTAGCTCAGGTTCCAATCTTTAAAAAAAAAAAGAGAGAATGTTTTTATAACACAGAATTGTCTATGTGATATTGTCTATAAAAAAGAAACACAAGATTTCTACCCACAGACTTTGAAATCAAGACAAGAACTACACATGAAGAATCCATTCCCAATCAACCATCAAGTCCTACCTATTTTCACTTCCCAAAAAACTCATTAGTCTGTTTACTTCTCTTCATCTCCAACGCCAGCCATTCTCTGGTCCAAACTATGATCCAGGCTGGCATGGAATATTACATTAGCCTCCCAACTATTCTCCCTGGATCAGTTGCCTGATCCCCTGCTCCCACCCCACAATCTGTTATCCTAGCCTCATCTCACTCACGCTCTCCATTCTAGCCACACTCGCCCTTGTTCCTCCCTTGTGCTTGCCATAGACTTCCTTTGACCACGAGGCCTTCCTTCGAATGCTTTGCACATCCTTTTTTGCTACTCATTTTTCAGACTGCAGCTCCATTCCCCCAAGGGAAGCTTTTTCTGACCTCCTATTATATGCTCATATTAAAATGGCATGATTATTTGATTAATGTCTAACTCCCCTCACTCCTACCAGCTGCATCACGAGGGCAAAGACCACATTTGTTTTGCTCATTCTCGTATCCCTAAGCCTAGCATAGTACCTGGGCTCTATAGATTGTCCCCCAAACATTTATTGAATAAATATTTGAGAATGCTTTTAAAGAAACATTCTCATTAAGGCAAATTAATAAAAGTTACCTTCCTTCATCATCAATAAAGCATGTATGTACGTACTCCTATTTCACGGTGGTAGTGATGGAATTGCACCATTTCACCTGCCTGCTCAAGCCCATGTGAAACAGACAGGTTTGAAATGATATGTTAGCTGGAAACCTGGCTCCCTGAATGCAGCCTCTGACCACAAAATAAATGACAATTAACCCGCTTTGGAGGCTACAAACCCACGAATCAAGCATATATTAGAATCAAGGTATATATTACAAGTGTACCTTAATTAAGTTACCGGATCTTAATTACTTAACAAACAGATAAAAATCTAATTTAAACAACTGCCACTAAAAAATACATGTTTCTCCCTTGCAGTGGAGTTTCGACATAATAATATAGTCCCAGCCTTGGAAATGAAAAAATAGCTTTGTCTAGGTTGACTGTGTCTTGGAGATAGAAGTTTTGAGAGAATGCAGTCAGTTAGCAAATAAATATCCTGAGTGCAGCAGAAGGAAAGTACAACAGCCCTCCAAAATACAACAAGGCTCCAGAGACGACTGTCCCCTGCTCTCCTCTTAGCTCCCCTCGGAGACTCTGTCAGTGCAGTGGTGCTTCTCTGGCTAAAGCGCTGCTACTATCCTTGTCTCTTCTTTCCTGGTCCTTCACTGGTACTCTTTCCAAAAACTTCAGCCAACGAGTAGCACGCTGCCCATAAATATCACCCTTCTTCTAGTCTCAACTAAGAGTATCTGAGGTTGGGGGAATTGCAGCTGGGGTTGGGGAGCTGGCAAAATACATCCAGAGTTTAGAACGCGAACCTCCCCATACAAGAAGCACACCACAGATTTGTATGTAAGAAAATATACACCACCAACATTTAGATGTACAGCACAGTGCGTACGTTAAAAGGGGACTAAGTGAAGTTTAATAGAGAGACCACAGGACTCCACCAAGGATTGATCAGGCAGTGAGGAGTCTAGTCTCAATTCCTTCCCTAATTGTACTGGAGGCAAGTCACCTAACTTCTGTTTTCCATCTGTAAAACAGAGGGCAAGCACTTGATCAATGTTTCTCTACTAGGGGTATTCCCCCAGGGGACAATTGGCAATGTCTCGCAACATTTTTGGTTGTCACAACTGGGGAGAGAGGGTATCAATCATGTTTTTTACTTTCTGTATTTTCTGATGCTTTGGCATCTTGGGGGCCTTGCTAATCCCGGAAAGACTCCCCTCCCAGGACTAGCTAATTCCTAGGGATAGGAAACAACACTGCCTCCCCCACCCCCGCCACGCCCCCACCACTGGTGTGCCTTTCCTATGAAAACCAACCAGTCCAGAACCCGTACCTCCTTTCTCCTTCACAGACCAAGCCAGTATTTGCCCTGCCCTAAATCACCCAGGGCCAGATACTGGACATCTAGACATTCCTCCTGTAGCCCAGAGCCCACCGAAATTATTCAAACTATCCAATCCTAAATTTGCTCACACTTGCCTATCCTGCCTTGCCCATTCCTTCCCTCAGAAACCACAATAAAGGTTCTGGGCGACACTTGCTCCTCACCCCTTCTGCTTCCAGACCAACTTGGGTGCTTCCCCTTGTGGGCCTACACGGCATGGTGTACTTCCTGCTCTTGGGAACCATAAGCAATAAACTCTTCTTTCAAGGCAGTTGTCTCCATGTCTGTAATCTTACCACACCTGATTAAAACAAAATCCATGGTACACTTTAAAACAGGTGGGAGGCCAGCCCGGTGGCACAGCGGTTAAGTTCGCACGTTCCACTTCTTGGTGGCCCGGGGTTCACTGGTTCGGATCCTGGGTGCGGACATGGCACCGCTTGGCAAAGCCATGCTGTGGTGGGTGTCCCACATATAAAGTAGAGGAAGATGGGCACGGATGTCAGCTCAGGGCCAGTCTTTGTGAGCAAAAAGAGGAGGATTGGCAGTAGTTAGCTCAGGGCTAATCTTCCTCAAAATAAATAAGTAAATAAATAAATAAAATAAATAAATAAAACAGGTGGGTGTGCTATTGGCATGTAGTGAGTACAGGTCAGGGATGCCGCTAAACAACGCACAATGCACAGGACAACCCCCACAACAAAAACCAATTCAGCCCCAGATGTCAATAGCACCAAGGTTAAGAAACTCTGGACTAGATGAGTTCTTATGCTCCTCGCAGTTCTACAATCACTTTTTTTTTAAACCTATCTTTTTTTTCTTTAAGATTGGCCTTGAATCCCAATGACATTCTTCACAGAAATAGAAAAAAGAATCCTAAAATTCATAGGGGGCAACAAAAGACCCTGAATAGCCAAAGCAATCCTGAGAAACAAGAACAAAGCTGGTGGCATCACAATCCCTGACTTCAAAATATATTACAAAGCTATAGTAATCAAAACAGCATGGTACTGGTACAAGTACAGACACACGGATCAATGGAACAGGACTGAAAGCCCAGAAACAAAACCATACATCAATGGACAGCCAATCTTCAACAAAGGAGCCAAGAGCATACAACGGAGAAAGGAAAGCCTCTTCAATAAATGGTGCTGGGAAAACTGGACAGCCATATGCAGAAGAATGAAAGTAGACCATTATCTTTCTTCATACACAAAAATAGACTCAAAACGGACCAAAGACTTGCAGGTAAGACCTGAAACCATAAAACTTCTGGAAGAAAATACAGGCAGTACACTCTTTGACATCAGACTTAAAAGGATCTCTTCGAATACCATGTCTACTCAGACAAGGGAAAAAAAAGAAAACATAAACAAGTGGAGCTTCATTAGACTAAAGAGCTTCTGGAAGGCAAAAGAAACCAAGGTCAAAATGAAAAAACATGGGGGCCGGCCCTGTGGCCGAGTGGTTAAGTTTGCGCGCTCTGCTTCAGTGGCCCAGGGTTTTGCCAGTTCGGATCCTGGGTGCGGACATGGCACCGCTCATCAGGCCATGCTGAGGCAGCATCCCACCTGCCACAACTCGAAGGATCCACAACTAAAAATACACAACTATGTACCAGGTGGCTTTGGGAGAAAAAGGAAAAATAAAATCTTTAAAAATGAGAAAACAACCCACCAAATGGGAGAAAATATTTGCAAATCATATATCTGGTAAGTGGTTAATCTTCATAATATACAAAGAACTCACACAAATGAACTACAAAAAACCAAACAAACCAATCAAAAAGTGGGCAGAGGATATGACCAGACATTTTTCCAAAGATATACAGATGGCCAATAGGCAGATGAAAAGACGCTCAACATGGCTAATCATCAGGGAAAAGCAAATCAAAACTATACTTAGATATTACCTTACACCCATTAGAATGGCTATAATCACCAAGACAAAAAACAACAAATGTTGGAGAGGTTGTGGTGAAAAGGGAACCCTCATCCACTGCTGGTGGGAAGGCAAACTGGTGCAGCCACTGTAGAAAACAGTATGGAGATTTCTCAAAAAATTAAAAATAGAAATACCATATGACCCAGCCATTCCACTACTGGGTATTTATCCAAAGAACTTGAAATCAACAATTCAAAGAAACTTATGCACCCCTATGTCCATTGCAGCATTATTCACAATAGCCAAGATGTGAAAGCAACCCAAGTGCCTACTGACTGATGATTGGATAAAGATGATGTGGTGTATATATAGACACAGACACACACACACACACACACACACACACACACACACAGAGTGGAATACTACTCAGCCATAAAAAAGACAAAATTGTCCCATCTGCAATCACATAGATAGACCTTGAGGGCATTATGTTAAGTGAAATAAGCCAGACAGAGAAAGACAAACACATATGATTTCACTCATATGTGGAATATAAACAAACTTATGGACAAAGAGAACAACTTAGTGGTTATGAAGGAGAAGGCGGATGGAGGGTAGGCTACAAGGGGTGAAGGGGCACACTTACATGGTGTCTGACAAATATTAATTTCACAATGTTATAAACTATTATACCACAATGTTATAAACTGAAATTTCACAATGTTATAAACTATTATGACCATGATAAAAAAAAAAAAGATTTATTGTCTCAAAAAAAAAAGGATTGGCCCTGAGCTAACATCTGTTGCCAATCTTTTTTTTTTTTCTTCTTCTCCCCATAGTTCCCCAGTACATAGTTGTAGGTCCTTCCGGTTGTGCTGTGTGGGACGCTGCTCAGCATGGCTTGGTGAACAGTGCTAGGTCTGCGCCCAGGATCCGAACCAGTGAAACCCTGGGCTGCTGAAGTGGAGCATGTGAACTTAACCACTTGGCCATGGGGCCGGCCCCCTCTACATCACTTGATTCACATAGGTCTAATAGGTTGAATAGCCGGTAGAAGATATTGCTGTAACATGATCAAAATAGCACTGTTAAAAAAACAAACAAACAAAAAAAAAACAGCACTGTTAGTCTGAGTTATCCCCCAGACTTAGGTGTACTGAAAACTTTTCCTTATAATAACAATTACAGTTAAGGGTTTTGATCTTAGTACAGACATTATTCAAGTGCTGAAGTAATGCTGAGAATTCGAATATAATTCTCAATAAAAATTCAAAAAACATTCCAGCGGGAAATAAATGTGTGGTAATAACAAAAACAATTTTATTGAAAAAACTCTACTTCAATCCTTAAAAGCCACTAAAAATCAATGTCTCGGCATAAAGAAACGTGGTAAAGAAAAGAAGTCTAGCAAACCACCATTGCCTTCAGGTTAAGTAGCCATAACCTTAGGGTTCTCCCCTTACTGCCTCCCCTCCCCGTATACATACCAGAGAATAACAATTCAAGGGTCAAGGGTCTCTACCTCAGCCTTGTGTAATTTATAAGACAAATAACATCCACTTTGAAAATTAAAACATATATACCTATATTCAGGTCTGCTCCACATGGATTGCAGTATTGCAGAGAGTTTACTTAGATCTATTCTACCAATGACTAGAAAGTTATTCAGTTTGGTGAGCATCTTTCAGAAAGGTAATAATTAGATTTAAGGTCACAAAGAACCTTTTAGAGACACTCTACACTGCAGCCATCATGGTACAGAAGCTCTGAAGAGTCCAGAGGTTGACATCCAAGAGCTGATCATCTGCATTTTACTAAGAATGCTCCTCCCTTCCCAGACAGAAAAGATTTCTTATAGGACAGAAAATTTCAGGAGATGTTTGAAAATAAGGATGCTGGAGAAAATAGCTTAGAACAGGCATGCCAGTAGAGATAGGGAGGCAGAAGTGGGGGAATCAGGGAGGGAGACAAAGTTCATTTGGATAAAGAGGAGGAGGGGATGGGCATGCCAGGGAAAAGTCATGAAAAAGCTAACTGCTCAAAGGCAGCGACTTAGTTTCAAAGGGTTTGAAAAGTTATTTCATTTCTCTTCATTAGCTAGCACCTACCTCAGGGTCAAGATCATCCAGAACAGTCTCCAGTTGTTTCAGTTCCATTTCTGAGAGATTCCCAAGGAGCTCATCTTCATCCAGGTCCTTGTACTTTTCTAAGTCTTTCCGGAATGGTAGCGCCATGATTTGCAGTGTAGGAAGTCACTTAACTTTCACTATTCAGTGCAGTGAGAAGTGATTTCTATTTCTTAAAGCTATGGAGGAAAGAAACAAACATATTTAAATATTAAGTCATCTCCCTCTACTTAGATCTATTATTAGGTTAAATGAAATGTAATTTCCATGTGTCGTATATTCTTTGACCATATATCCACACTACCCTTGTCTATGGAGCATTCAACGCCTTTACCTTTTGTCTTTCGTTGACAGAAACAACAAAAAAAGTCAATTGGGAAAAAATAGGGGAGGAAAGACTAAAATTCAAATCCATTAAAACACCTACTTGGTAGAATTGAGAATTTCTGGTAACAGTGTTAGGGAGAGTGAACCTGTAACATGTGTTTTTAAAGGAAAAAATACAGCATTCTGAAAATGTTTCAGTGAAATACTCAAAGCCAGGCTGGGAGATGTCACCCACGCTGACTGGCAAGGTGGGTCAGGAGGGTCTGACTACAGGAGAGGACCTTTCCCATTTCTTCACCACGTGGGTCTCTCCCAGACAGCCATGAGGTGAATCGACCAGCAGCATCTTTGCAGATACAGTAGGACTATTCTATAGGAAAGGAGACTTAACTCAAGCCCCACCAAGAGTGTGAAGTAAAAATAAAGTATCTCTATAAATTCTAGCCATATACGTGGATCATCTGTTCCATAAAATGTTCCTATGTGAACGAGAAATAATCCTTAGACCCAGAGATTTGGCTCAATTTTTCTTGGCTGCAAAACACCCAGTTCTTCAAAGTTCGGATATATTTTCTTTACTACCCCCTTCTCCCGAGTTTTCCCAACTTAATATTTTAACTCATATATTTTCCTCCTCAAACCAGTAACATTTTATGGATCCCTTTATGTGTTTTCATCTTCTTAGAAGAAAGGAAGGTTCACCATAGGGGTCCGACAGCTAGTGATTTGGCTAGCAACCACCTAGGTCCAATAACAAGCAAATTAACAGAATTGTGCTTCTGCAGACGTTAATTGCAGGCATTCTGTGTAACTGCCCAAGACAGGTCTGGCTTACACCTGTTCTACTTGGCATCTCATCTGGTTTAGCAATTATCCCGGATTTTGGGGGTTTTTTATTTTTGACAAATTATCATTGTCATTATTTAGTCTGGTAAATCCCCACTTTTTACTTCCAACTTTAGGATAGTAAGCTTGCCAAGTATCCTGAGAGTGTATTTTTTCAATTAAAAATAATAGAGTCTGCAGAGAAGATTCAATAGAAGGTATCAGCATTTTCAAATATATTAACCATAAAATGCAATTTTAGAGAAGGTGGCAGACATTTTTAGGGGAAAAAAATTAAAAATAAGACCATTTTGAGAAAATAATCCCTTCATAAAAATACCAATGACATGGTATTTGAGACAGATAAGGGTAAGAAGTTGATAAAAGTATATGGATATGTACCAAGAGTAATTATTTAGCTTATGCTATTTTTTAATGATTGGACAATCGATATAAAAAGTTTTTAATGTGGTTTAATATTTAGTTTTGAGGTTTACAGGATATAACAAAGCTAATTTCTTAGTTAATAAATACTGCAAAAAATATGTATGATTTTAATTATTTTGAGCATCCCCTTCCTTTACTCTCAAAAGTGTTCCAGTAGAGGCCATAATTTCATTGGTCATCCTACTAATAAGGTAGTATAATGGATAAGATGATAGGAATGAGATCTTGAAAGCAAAGGCAATGTGACATGTCATCCAGGTTCTATAGGTTTGGAGCATGAATTCCTTGGAGTGACTAAATAGCTTACTCCAACAGAGTGCTCTTTATCCCAAAGTAAAATCTGTCACACAAAGTGTGTTTATAGTATTGCCATGAACACGCTGCCCAGCTACAGAAAGTTCATGTTCCCCTTTCCAGCTGCATCTCCCTCCCCAAAAGAAGTAGCCATTGTACTTAACTTTGAATTAATCATTCTCTCACTTTCCTATACAATTTTACCTTAAATGTACATATCCTTAACAGTTTTAGTTTTGCCCTTTTTTTTTGCCCTTTATGTAAATGGACTCATACAGTATGTATGACTTGCTTCTTGTCACTCAACATTGCTTTGTGTTTTTTTCCTTCCCAAAGCCCCCCGGTACATGGTTGTGTATTTTTTTTAGTTGTGGCATGTAGGATGCCACCTCAACATGGCCTGATGAGTAGTGCCATGTCCGCACCCAGGATCCGAACCGGCGAAACCCTGGGTTGCCGAAGCAGAGTGCATGAACTTAACCACTCGGCCACAGGGCCAGCCCCATAACATTGTTTTGAGTTGATGCTTAGAGCTATACTTCTCTCATTTTCATTTCTATATAGTCTTCCATTGTATAAATGAATATTTGAGTTACTTGTAGTCATTCCCTCTCTGTTTTTCTGCTACAAAAACAGAGTTACCTATTTTTCTTGTCACCTATTTCCTGGTATACATGTGCAAGAGTTTCTCCAAGTTGTTCAAACCTAGGAAGGGAATTGCTGTGAAAAGGGTACACTACTACCCAACTTTACTAGGTAATAAACTATTTTCAAAGTGGTTGTATCAATTTACATTCCTAGAAGATTCAGTACATGACAATTCTTGTTGCTCATCCTTGCTAATTGTTGGTATTATCAGAGTTTTTTATTTTTGGCCATTCTGGTGGATGTAAAATGTTATTTCACTGTGGTTTTAATTTGCATTTTGCTGAATGATGATGAGGTTGAGCATCTTTTCATATGTTCATTGGCCGATGGTGTTCCTTATTCTGTGAAGAATCTGTTGCCCATTTTACTATCGTGTTATTTATCTTTTTTTTTAATAGATGCTCTTACTATACTCTGGATACTAATCTTTGTCAGTTATATGTAAAAAATCTCTTCTTCCACTTTCTCCGAACTCCTACTAGTTTATTATGGTATTTTTCTAAGGGGAAATATTTCTAAGTGTTTTTCATTTAATTTTTTAAGGAATTTACTTCTTTGGCTTATTTTTTCCTTTTCAAAGCAACAGAAAGGCATTTCCTTTAGATTCAGATTAGGAAATTTTGCCAAGAGGCAAGAACTTCCAGGCAATATACCAAAGTTTCCCCAAAGCTTCAATTCTGATGCGACAGAAAGCAAACACCTGGTGTTCACTCCACCTAATGTTGCTCAAAACTTACCAAGAGCATCATTATCATCATTCATCAACTTCATCAGGTGTCCACATCCTCTGAGTCTCTAACTTGAGTATACCTTCCCTCTCAACGCCCACCCTTTACTGAGGAATATCTGTATACTGACAATGTTCCAAGGGTCAGCAAGAGAAGCTCAGAAGCGCCAGAGGGAAGCTCTGGGAGCAGTGTTTTACTTTGCCTTCTGTCCTAGAGATAACAGGTCCTCTCCTGCTTGTCCTTTGACATCTGTGTACTGCAAGTGGAACAAATTCTGAACGGTGAAGAGGTGAAAACAGTGTGCTAGAAAAGTATTTTAAATCTATACTGTGTCTACAGGAATTTTTCTTAACCCCTAAGCTAATGTAAAATACATCTCAGAAAAAAGGGTAATTTACACAGCACAGGAATAGACTTTTTAAGCATGATGTTCTCATAGTCATAAAAAAAAAGTTTGCATATAAGCAAAAGTTAGTTTGGCCAGATAAGTCAGGCAAACCTTGAGGAAGAAGTAGAAAAAATTTTAATTTGAAATTTTGGTATGATCAGACTGTTTACTTCTTCATCCTTAATTCACTTCTTAGAGCAGTGGTTTTCAAGTTTTGGAGAGAATCAAAATCCCCTGGAGAGCCTGTTAGCATACTGACCCCAGGGCCCCACCCCCAGTTTCCGTATTGAATAGCTCTGGGGTAGAGCTGAAAATTTGCATTTTTAACACGCTCCGGGGTGGTGCTGATGCAGCTGGCCAGGAAGCAGGCGTTGAGTGTCCCTGCTCTCATCTGCAGTCTATCTTGTACTACTCACAGGCTGAAGAACTTTGTTAAGATAGTCCCCAAAGTCTACGGGGGCTGTTGCCATGATATGCTTTCCTTTTCACTCTGCCACTGCTTCACTGGACTTCAGTTAGCGGAGGCTATACTCAGGGAATCGGGAAACTCTTGGAATATTCTGGGGCAAAAGATTTCATTCCATTAACCAACCTCCTTTTCATTTATTGCTTATCTCTAGAATCCTCCTTAGATTTCACACTGGACTCCCAGGACCCTGCTAACTTTCAGATGGATTCTCAGCCATCTCATTTCATGAGATGCTTTATATTTCAGCTTTCTATTTCAGCTTTCTATTTGGATAATTTAAAAAAATTAATAGCCATATTCTAGAACTTTTGGATCACTTCAAACAAAGCACTGTCGTGAGATTTCAGATGCCATGTGTACATTTCTATTTGTTATTGCACCAGCACCAGGCAGAACTGCTTTAATTGTTCTAAACTAACACAGAGGCAGACTTAATACCTAAGTGATGCATTTGCACAAAATGGAGACAAGTCACTATGGAACCAAAAGTTTCCCCGAGATTCAAACAGAGGTAAGTGGTGGGAGAGTTAAGTTCGCAAATGGCAGATGGTAGGACAGGCGCATTGAATTCAAAGAGAGCTCGCACGGAAGCAGTCAGTCCCATCTTCTCATCCAAGAGCAAGTTAGATTTTGTGAAATCATCAGTTAACACTACGATCCACAATAACTTTTTTCCGTTAAAAGGGTTCTATAAACTACATAAGGCTGAGAAACACTGCTCTACTCTATTTAACCAGTCTCCACTTGTTTTCTTCCAGTTTCACATTTTTTATAGAGAGAAAGGTCTCGACATTGACTATATTTTAAAAAACCAAATAAACCAACTGGAATTACATGATTCAGAGATATATTCTCTCAGTATATATATGAGGTGTTAACCCCCATTTCATCACTCTCTCAACAGGGTAGGCTCAGAGTCTTCAGACTTATCTGTTGTCTAATGCACACGTGGTCATGTTGTTCTCTGGCTCAAAAACCTTACACAGACTCATATTACCTACAGCAGGGCTAGGCAAAGTACAGTGTCAGCAGACCAAATTCAGCCTACTGCCT